AAAGAAAATAGCAATGCTCAGTGATTGGGCAAATATGCCTGTCAAAAGGAACCTGAAGTGGAGGGAATTGTCAGTGAAGGAAGCTGCCACCCCATATTCATGGCCTCAGTGCATTGCCAAGGGACTCAGGGAACCAGCCAAGCCTCACATAATTGAGTGAAATGACAATCAGCTCTGGTACTAAAACAGATGATTTTTATAAATAGGGTTGATAGCAGGATTTTCCAGCTTCTGATTGCTATCTGGCTAGGGTTCCACCCTTAGAAAAATTCTGCCCTTCGCGTGCCAAATTCAGAGGCTGATTTTGCCCAAGTCGTTACCACCATATTTTCTGAATCTCTTAAAATAGAATTGAATCGTAATTTAGAAAAACATGCAAAAATGGATGGGCATATAGGATGAGGCCAGGTTTGTGAGATGCATTTGTCCCATGAATAAATCCCTTCTCTTAATTCCAAAAATGTTACTAAAACACAGCTTTTGACATTGCACCAAAAATGGGCTTCTTTCCACAGAATTTTGCTTTGGGGATATGGAAATATTAAATGCTTCTTAACTCTTTCAGTTTGGTGCTACCAAAAAGAAAACCCTGATCTCTCTACCTCCTTCTCTTTGTCCCTCCCGCTTTCACTGTCCCTCCCTCTTTCAAGCCTAGCATCTTTGAATCGACACTACATAGCTAAGACTTGAAAAGAAAGATTACACATGGAAATTGTTCACAACCTGCGATAATGACCTGAAAGGGTCAGCCCGTTTTCCAGCTCATGGATGAAGATAGGCCAAGGGCTTAGAAATAAGCTATCTCAGTGACTCAAAGCAGCCTCTGAAGGAGCATCTCTGAGGAAAAGAGCCTGCATCCCTGAGCAGACTGGATTCCACACTCAGACTAGATCCCACACTGAATCTCAGTGTGTAGTCTGATACTTTTCAGGGCTCAGCAGGCCATCCAGGAAGAAGTGCCAGCTCTGGCAGCAATACCACTGTCATGCCATGGGTCGGTGCTGTGCCACATCCATGCACCATGGGCCTTCTCAGATCCTTGTGTGAGCAAAGTGAGTGCAGGTCTGGTTGTGGTTTCAAATTCAAATCACCCAAATGTCTGTCTCTGCCAGGGACTCTGGGAATCATCTCAACCTAGGCTACCTGGCACCATCCTCCCTGTGAAGGAGGATGATACTGCAACCCTCACTCTACAAAGAAGAAAATCAGGGTGAAGAGCAGTCCAGGGCACAGCCAGGGTTTGCACATGGATCTTTTGATTCTAAGCTAGAACTCCTTCTATTTGAGCACCACACTTGTTAGGGTTTATCCACTGACCAGAAGAGAACACAGATGTTTAGGGTCAGCTCACCAAGACAGAGTGCATTGGGCAGCCCCCCTCAACCTTGGAAGCAACTTCCTCCTGCTGATTTCTTTCTTGGTCCTTCCTTCATTTCTGCTTCCTACTTGGTCCCATGTTCCACTTTTCCAGATGGCCATTCACTTGCCATTTCATCCCCACACTCTTTCATCTCCACTGTGCACAGATCTCATGTGTCAGGGGTTCCTTTAGTTGTCTGACACTAGGTTAGGCAGCCAGTGATTAAAAAAAAAAAAAAGAATAGGGCACACTGCCACTGTCAAAAGAATAGTGGTGACAGACATGTACCCACACCTAGGATGTGAGTCCACGTGTGAGAAATGGTCCAGTGTGTGTTTTGCTCCAAGATCCCAGGAGAAGGACCCGGCAGATGATGGCTTCCATCTTCTCCACCTCCTCCATGGCCATCTTCTGGCCTCATCTGCTGTTTTTCTACTGAGAAGTTCAGCAAAACAAAACAGTGGGTGGATTTTTTAAAAAATAGCCAAAAGCATGCTCATGGATCAAACCAACCTGAACAAAATGGTCAAGATAAGCACATCTTGCTCCTCCTTTGTGACAGGGGTGCAAAGTTTAGGTTGATCTAACTCAACTAAACAGTTTGGGGAGAGCAGAGGGGCTGTGACAAGCCCAGTTTCCATAGCTTCAAAGGAGCAGAAACCCAGACCTCAGGTTCTCGGCCACTGTGCATTTTGTAATTAAATGAAGACATGTGTGGTTTCCATGGCAGTGGAACCATGGAAGCTTTGTGGCCTCTCAGAGCACTTGCTGGCCCAAATCTCCTCACTTTTCCAAGCGGAGCTCATGGTGCTTGCAGGGAGTCTCCTCAGAACATCAAGTGATAATGTGAATCCCAGACCCTTTTTTTGCATCTCCAGAATTTGACATAAGAAGCAACTGCCTCTGGTTTAATGAAAACCACACCTATGACTTCTGTCTCCTTGGGTCAGGTCAACAGTGGGGAGAGAACCTTCAGTCCTGCTATAGACAGTTGGAGAGAATGCTAGAGTCTGTGATGATGGTAGCAGAAAGTACTTTGTGATTTTGTGGCTGCCTCCACCACATCAGTGTTTTCTTGTGGCTGACCCGAGACAGGGCCTGCATACTTACTGGCCCCCTCCTATGTGGTGAGCAGCTGCGGGCCCCCTGCATTGCATACTGAAAACTCTTCCAGTGCTCGACACAGTGATGAAGCACCCAGCCCCTCTTCAGAATGAAGAACTTACCTCCCAGCTGCTGGGAAAGCTGCCCCATGAAATGACTGATAGATAAAGGTCTGTAAAGACTCATTCCCTGAGCCCAACTCAGACCAGCTCCAAAGGGGCGTCCTGTGGGGGCGGATGAGGTTTTTGTTGAGACTGCTTCATTGTTCAGCCTCACCCCCTGTCCCCAGCCTCCCACAGAGGTGGATCCTGAGGGCACGCCTGGTAAATGTCTCCCCTGCCAATCTCCTCTCAGTCTGCTCCTCAGGGGGCTTGACCTGTGACACATCCCCAGGTCTGTAGGTGGTCTGGGTCAGGGGTATCTCTCGGGGAGAGCAGAGTCCAGGCAGTGATCTAGAAAATGACCACCAGGGACCCAGCAGTGTTCTTGGCTCCTGGAATATAGGTTTAGTTTTATAGTCAGCACATGTCTGATGGATAACGGTGGATAACGGCACTTTCATTCCCCTCCAATAGCAAATTTGCATGAATATGGATGTTCACATTTGCCATCTAACCTTGGTAATGACTGACTACAGTCTCCCCTGAGACAGGATTTGCACACTCACATGTCACCTCTACCAGGAGGAGTCTCTGGGCTTCTCTCCTCCTCAGTCAGAAGCACCCACTCCATCTCTGAACTCATTTGCTGTCAGTGTTTAGTGCTTGGGTCTTTATCATTTATCCCACAAGTATCTGTTGAATACATGCCCTGTGCCATTCCCAGTACCAGTGATACAGAGAGGGAAGGCACAGCCCCTGGGTCAAGGAGCTCTTGGTCTGAACCAGAGACAAGCAAACATGACATTAGAATGTATTGGGGTTGGCGGGAAGAGAGAGGTAGGTGTGAAGTACACCTAGAAGGGTCATCCAACCTGGCCCGGGGGCAAAGGGTTGTACCAGCAATGAGGGGTGGCCAGGGTGACAGACAGCAGGCTGAGCCTTAGAGGACTACTAGATATAAGCCATGTGAATTAGTTTCCTATGGCTGCTGTGACAAATTATTACAAACTCAGTGGCTTAAATGAGTTATTTCTTGTAGTCAGACATCTGAAATCAGTTTTACTAAGCTAAAGTCAAAACATTAGCAGAGCTGGTTTCTTCTGGAGGTTCTAGGCTAGAATCCATTTCCTTGCCTCTCTCGCCTCTAGAGGACACTTTCATGGTGGCTCTGTGGCTCCTTTCTCCATTGTCACAGTCAGTGGTGTGGCATCTTCTCTCCTCTCTGATCTCTGCCACTGTCCTCAATCCTTTCTCTCCTTGCTCTTGTAAGGATCTTGATGACACTGGACCCATTTGGATAATCCCCCCTACATGAAGATTTTTAAATTAATTACACCTGCACTGTCTCTTTTGTCATATAACACAACATAATCACAGGTTCCAGGGATTAGGAAGTGGACAGCTCTGGCAAGGGTGGGGGGGGGTCCAACTTCCCACACCAGCAACTACACCCAAGGTAGCATTCCAGGCAGAGGAATGGATATGTGCAAAGGTGGGAGGCAGGACCCATTGCCATTTGGGTTGCAGATAGTTCATAAGAGGAGGTCAAGGAATCAAGCTGGACAGAGAGACAAGAGCTGTTGTATTTAGGACATTGGCTTTTGAACTTGAATCATAGTTATTTATATACTTGTCTTATCTCTCTATTTGCTCATGAGGGCCTGAGGCCAGGATCTGGGTCACTGCGTTCTTGATGCTGTCACAGTTCTGGCTCAGTGATGGGCACATGGCAAGTCCTCAGCACACTGTATGGCATCAAAATGCCATCTTTGCCCTGCTATGACACTGTGGAGACAGAGTGAGCCAAGCAGAGAACTAAAGGCGCCTGATCCTGGCCAGCGTGCTCCTGGCCATCTTCACCTTGGCAGTATGACCGGTCTTCTCACAGCTCAGTGGGCAGGGATGGTTTACAAGCCAGTGGCATTTGGGGACACGGGCTAGAGAAGGTTACATACAGACTTGCAAAATGATCATTGCCGAAACTGGACGTGGGTTCAGGAAGATTCATTGTACTCTTCTTTTTACTGAATATTTTCATAATATAAAGTATTGGAAAGGTTACATGAGCAGAGATGAGCCACCCAGAGCATCACAGAAAACACAACAGGCATGGAAAGTGGAGGGACCGGACTGGGGTTTGAGAGGATGAGAGCCGTGAAAAGAGCTCTCGTCGGTAACTAGTGAGAAAATGTCTGTAAACGTTTGTTGTAAACTGTAAAGCTCTGCATTCACGTGGGGATTATTCCACAATTATTAATACAAACATCCTTCTTTCAGGAATTAGGCTGTTATGCAGTCTCTCGTGTAATAAATAAGCTGCATGTTCTTCCCTTCTGGGAATCGGGGGCCCACCACAGCCTTCCCAGTGCGGCTCCCCTCTGACACCCTTGGTGTAATCATGTTGGGTTTCTTCCCTCTCTGCCCCCACCCAACAGACGCTGAAGGACGCCAGTGACAATGCACGCAAGGACTTCCACCGCGAGGCCGAGCTGCTGACCAACCTCCAGCACGAGCACATTGTCAAGTTCTACGGGGTCTGCGTGGAGGGCGACCCGCTCATCATGGTCTTTGAGTACATGAAGCATGGGGACCTCAATAAGTTCCTCAGGTACAGTGAGACAGCGAGGGGCCGGGGGAGGTGGGCTGGTGGAAGGCGCAGGACTTCAGGGCTCCGACAGCCTGTAGGTGAGGACAGGAGTTTCTGGGAAGGCTGAAGGGGCCCCCAGATCTTTCTCTGGGAACCACAATAAAGCATGCCAGGAAAGGAACAAAGGAAAAGAGCGGGCCGCAGGATTCTTTCTTACCTGAGTTGGTGAACTCTGCACACTATGATGTACTGATTCAACTCAGTTCATCCTGAATTTATGGAGCATTTGTTCTATGAACTGGTATGTGACTTGTGCATGAGATGGGCCTTAGAGGGTCTGTGGAGTTTGCCAGATGGGCAAGAGAAAAATGTTGTTTAAGGCAAAGGAAACAGTGAGAGCTAAGGGACCCAGGTGTCGCAGTGGAAGTGCGGTCAGGTGAGAGTGAAGAGTCTGGGGCTTCCAGGCTGTGGAATGAATGGGGAGTGGGGGGAAGTAGGAAGCAGACAAATCCCTGGAGGATTCAAGGCTGGAAGGGCGGGTGCTTAGACGTCATTCTGAGGGTGAAAAGAATAACCAGGGGGTCGGTAGTTCTGAGGAACTACAGTGGAGTGATCTGAATTCAAAGAAGCAAATCTCCCGAAGGAAGGGGGTGAAACAACGTATGTAGGACTGGCTGGTGCTGAGCCCCTGAGGGCATGAAAAGGCGGACAGCTTCACCGTGAGGGTTTCATGGTGAGCAGGGTCTTTAGAAGAAGGCAAGGCAAAGGAGAGAAGATGTTGACTCTAAAAGGGAGTCATCAGGCTGTTAAATAGGGTTAGTGTCTCTGGGAATTTTAGCACTGGCAGATTGGGTTTTAGTTTGGCTCTCCCTCGGATGGAGGGTCCAGGGAGCTGGGAACAGCCACAGGATAGAGCAAGTGAGCATCAGCACAGAGTGAGCATAACCAGGGAGGAAAGGTCAAGTTGCTTTGGAAACCTGAGGCTAACTCACACAGTACGAGGGGTTGTGTGCATGACTCTTGAGGAGACAGTGTGGTATGACAAATAACAGCAGGGATTTTGATCTCCAGACAGAGAATCAGAAGTTGAATCTCAGCTCTGGCATTCAGTAGCTGAGTCACACAGGTTTCTTAGCTGTTCTGATGAGACTATTGAGCCCACAGGGTAGACTTGACGTAGGAGCAAATAGGAAGTTTTCAATGAGCAGATGCTTGAATTCCTCCAGGAATGATTTCCACTGGCAAACCAGCTGCCTCGGTAAGAGAAAGCACAAGGAGGGCTGTGTTTGATGAGACAGGGAAGTTAATGGTAGAGCCCACAGAGAGGGTTCTCATCCTGCATCTACCATCTACCAAGGGAGAGAGGAATGTGCTGAGCCAGGTACTCCTGGGTAAAGGAAACCAAGGGATGCTTCTATTTGCATTAAGCAGGGGCACAAATGGAAGTGGTGCGTGTAAGGCTGTAAACCTAAAGAGTAAGCAGCCCTGAGTTTGGGAGACCTGAGTTCTCCCAGGAAGGACCTGAGTTCTTCTTTCTATTCCACATCAGCTCTGCATGTCCCTTAAATAAGTCTCCAGCCTGAGTCACTTCAATTCTCGGATGGGTCTGAGATAGATCCGTTTTAGCTCTTGTCTGGGTCCAACATGCTGTTTTCTTTATAGTTTAGCTGACCCTCATTTTTGAGAGATTAGCAGATGTGCTGCCTGTGATATATGTATCTTGGTAGGTAATAATTCCTAGGAGAAACAGGAAAGGTGTTGGAGGTAGACTGATCCCTGCCCTTGTTGGACTCTGTTTCCTCGCCTGTAAAAAGAATATGATTTAAGCCATTGCAGGGACTAGTGGGAGCCCTGTTGGAGTGGTCGGGAATCAACAAATGTCCCTACAACCCTTTATCTCTGCCACATTTCCTCCTCATTTGGGTCTTCCTCTTCTTTCCATGGACAGTGAAGAGAGCTTTGCACAAAACCCAGCCCTAGTGAGATTCATGTGTCTGCTGGAAGATTCGGACACTGTGCAGTTGAAGCAATCAGTCAGTCACTACGAGAACAGTGGAAGGGAGAGGGTGTTCTGCTGTTTTTAGAAATGTCATCACATGGTTAGTGCCATCTGGATCATTTCTACCATCTCTAGCCTCATGGATACACGTGCAATTTCATTCTCCTTTGCTGGGGTGGGTCCCTATTCTCTGCCTCTCCTGTGCCCATGGGAGTGAAGGGCTATGAAGCCGATCAATCCCAGACAATCCTGGTGTGTTATCTCATGTCGGCCAAGATGTTCTGATAGGTGATAGGTCAGGGGACAGTGGCAGCTGTTGCACATTGTCTTGTCAGATCTCACATGACAAGGAAGGAAAGAAGCTGAATTTGGTGGGGGTCTAACTGCTCCTAGAAGAAATATTTTCCTATGCTCCAGGCTACCTCCCTAACTCAAATGCTTTTCCCAAACTGTAGCATAATAAATCCAGTTATACTCGCCTGGATATAATTAAATGCTGCTGTGAGATGTGAGCTGTGCATGTGTGTGTGCATGTGCCTGTGTGTGTTACTTCACTTTCTTACTCGGTCAGCCTCTCCCAGCTCCCCCTCCTGCCTTCCAGAAGGAGCAGGCACCTGGTTCTCCCTTGGCGTCCTGGATGGGGCGTGGAGCAATTGGAAACTTTCCCTGCTTGAATTTAGGATCTACTAAGTCTGGGAACAAGAGGGTTGCCATCCCAGGAGTCAGGTTCTCAGGTGTGCTAACATGCTGCAAAGATAAGCTGCCCTCTCTCTGGAAGGGAACCAGGAAATTAGCTTTATGAAAAGTTCCCAACTATCACTGGCACTGCCCTGTAAAGACAGAGTTCTTCTCCTTTTAGCCACCCTTTTTATTCATCCAAAAGCCGTATATTGAGCACATGAGGCCAGGCCTTTTGCTAGTTGGGTTGGGAAGTGCGTCAAACATAGCCCTGTCTTGCTTGCAAGGGATTTACAAATCTTTTCCCCTTAGAATCTTTCCAGAGTTCCCTTCTAAAGAGGGGAAAGATAGATGAGTATTTTTGAAGCAATTACTGTTAATATTTATGGAGCCTTTCTAAGCATTTTAAGCTTGTTGAAACCTAATAAGCTAATATTATTGGCCATTTGCACCGGCTTCTAACATTGCTTCTATTGGAGTCTTTGCCAGAATAGTTCAGTTGCCGGGGATGAAATAAGGCTGTGAGTAATCAATAATTCGGAGTACATCTATGAAGATTGAATTCTGGCCCAGGTTCTTTGGGTCCTTATTTCATTTTCCTTAGTTTATGTGCACCCTTAGATCCTTCTCCTGGTGTTGAGATCACGGTAGATTTAGCAAGACAAGTGAAAACATCCTCACTATCCCAGCCTCTTAGTGCTAGAAGGGCCGGCACTAAGAGTCCCGAAGAGGCCAGTTGCACAAAGGAATGTACAGAGGCTACCTTGTGTTTTCATGTCATCTCTCCATTTCTGTTTTTAAAAAGAAGCTTTGCAAAGCCTTTGTCTCTGGTTTTCCTGTGAAAGGCCATGGAGCACTATGCAAGGAGAATCTCAGTTCATCCTCACACCAGAGCCCATAGCTAGATGCAGTTAGCATGTCCATTTTACATAACAAATAAACAGGCCCAGAGAGGCTATGTATTCACCTGAGGTCACACAGCTAGTGTGTTAGGACAGGATCCAAATCCAGTGCAGATACCCAAGAGCTTTGGCCACTATACTATAGATTTCTCACCTCTCGTAAGAGATTTTGAGCTGAAGAAAACCCCAAAGCATCTCTCCAGTATTGTTTCCGAATGGGATGAAGGGTGGTTGGGAACTGTGGTTTGAGTAGAGGGGAAATGTGTTAGGACCAGCCTTGTACAGAAAGAGGAAGCTCCTCTCTAGGGGATGATTAAATCCAGATCGTTAGAAGGGATCCAGGAAGTCACCCAGCCTAATGTCCTTTTGTAGAAGGGAGTGCGCTCTTGTCCTTGTCCAATGCTCATTCCCCAAAAATACAAGAATGGAAAGGTCTGTGATCCGATGTTTTAAAATCAAAGAAAAGGAGAATCACTGTGGGCTGAGCCATTATGGAAGATGAATAGTTCGTCAGGGGGCATAGGTCAAACGTCTGTTCTTGGCTAGCTCTGGTGTTCCCGCTTTCAATACTCGGACAGGTCTAGAACCCTGCAGGTGAGGTCACCCATTTTAAAATGTATTAATAGTAAAATCTTCTATATTTATCCCAAGTGTTACCAAATGTTCTGAAGGAGATGATCTCCTATGTTCTGTGCCGGCGCCAGGAGAAGCCCTGACCAGGCCAGCCAGAGCTGCCGCTCCGAATGCCTTTGTTCCTTGCCCTGCACTGCCCCCTCAGGCCACCGGGGCACTGACCCCAATCTTAGCTCAAAGCACAGGATGCCAGAGCAGGGACTGCTGAGCTATCCTAGGACCGGGGCCCTCCCCTCCCAGAAGCACATGCCAGTGTTAAGATGTCCTAAGTCATCCATAGCGAGAGAAAGACCAAGTGTATAAGACAGAAGAAAAAGAATGTTAAAAAATACCATACCCCTCATAGTGTCAAACCAAAACTTTGCCCAGCAAAAAAAAATTTAAAAAGTGTTATAATTCATAAGTGCTCCCCTGCATGTTGGCCAGTATAAGTGCCGAGCTGGAGGTGGGCATGAAGTCCAGGCTGAGAATGTCCTGAGTCTCTGTTGAACTGAGCTTGAGGATGTCAAGAGCACCTTGAAAACCCTGCCTGGCTACAGATCAAGGGATAGGGGGAGACCATGAGCCGTGCTGGTGGGGACACTCTGCAGGGGTCAGCTCTGAGGGTGCTGGCTGCAGGGACTGTGCCCTTCCCTCTGGGAAAACCCTCTGTGCCCAGCGTTTTGCCACGTTTGTGCTTTGCTTTAGCTACCTGCTGCTTCTCATAGTCAGGGACTCTGGTCAGTGACTGGCCCCAGCATAGTTCTGGAGCCTCTAAAACACCACCTGTCTGTGTTTGGGGGGCATTCAGGCTCATGGGGTCCTGGGAATTCCAGAGTCTCTGGGAAAGGAAGCAGCCTGCCTCCTCTTGGGACTTTGGGGATAAAGGTATAGGTTAGGTGAAGCATCTCTGTCTCCTCTTTCTGCCCAGTCGGGCAGTGTCCTTTAGCACCAGTGGCTGATGGGGGCAGAGGGCCCCCGAGTCAAAGAGCTGCGGCCTCATCTATGCCTTCTGGGTCCCTCCCTAGGGCACACGGACCTGACGCCGTGCTGATGGCCGAAGGCAACCCACCGACAGAGCTGACGCAGTCACAGATGCTGCACATAGCCCAGCAGATCGCCGCCGGCATGGTCTACCTGGCATCCCAGCACTTTGTGCACCGTGACCTCGCCACCCGGAACTGCCTGGTCGGGGAGAACCTGCTGGTGAAGATCGGGGACTTTGGGATGTCCCGGGACGTGTACAGCACTGACTACTATAGGGTGAGTAGCATGCAGGCAAGGAGACATCGGGGCCCTCCTCCTCTGAGGCCTCCACTGCATTTGTTTGCTGGGGCTTTCATAACAATATATCACACACTCGCTGGCATACAAAGAGAAATTTGCTTCTCCAAGGTCAAGATGCCTGCAGGTCTGCTGCCTTCTCAGGTCACTCTCCCTGGCTTGCAGCTGGGTTCCTTCTCACTGCGTCCTCACCCAGCCTCGCTCCTCACATGTGCTTGCACCCTTAATGTCTCTCCGCATGTCTGTTTCCTTTTGTGCAGACTCCAGTCAGGCTGGGCTCGGGCCTCCCCCAACCGTCTCATTTTAACTTAATTGTCTATTTAAAGTCCTCTCTCCAGCTGGGTGTGGTGGCTCACGCCTATAATCCCAGCACTCTGGGAGGCTGAGGAGGGTGGAGTGCTTGAGCTCAGGAGTTTAAGATCAGCCTGGGCAAGAGCAACACCTTGTCTCTAACTAAAAATAGAAAAACTGGCCATGTGTTGTGGCAGGTTCCTGTAGTTCCAGCTACTCGGAAGGCTGAGGCAACAGGATTGCTCAAGCCCTAGAGTTTGAGGTTGCTGTGAGCTACACCACCCAGGGTGACAGAGTGAGACTCAGCCTCAAAAAAATAAGGAAAGAAAGGAAGGAAGAGAAGGAAAGAGAGAGAGAAAGAGAAAGAGAGGAAGAAAGAAAGAAGGAAAGAAATAGACACTCAGTCTCAAAATAAATAAATAAATAAATAAATAAAATTAAGTTATTTTTCCAAATACAGTCACATCCTGAGGCTCTGGGGGCGAGGTCTTCAGCCTGTGAATTTGGGCGGGACACAGTTTAGTCCATAATACCCCATCTTGCTCTTTCCGTAACACTCCAGAATGGTGTGTGACATTTCCAAGAGAAAAGCTCTCAGTGTGAGAATCCTTCTAGGGGAGTCTGGGGACTTGGGAAAGTTCTTGATGGGCATGAGGTTAAAGGATTTTGAGGTCTGGATTTGATTCTGTGAAATTATGCCTAAAGCCTTTGCTTGAGATTTGAACTAAAGATAATTCATCTCCATAAATAGTAACACAGCAGACCTTGGAACATTCCCTACAGAACAATCTTGGCTGAAAGCAGTTTAGCCAGTGGGTTTCTTTGTGCAATGTGAGATGGTCTGTCCCACCTGTCCCTGCATGGTCCCATGCAGCTGCCCTGAAACCTCTGAGGGGCAGGTTATAGGTGATAATTCAGATAATCCAAACCCACTGATCACCTGGAACTTGCCCCCTGCATATGTTAGATGTGATAACTGAGATCTCGGAACTTGGGTGCGAGAGAAAAGGGACATTTCTGGAAACCCTGAAGTCATGATATTTAGAGTGAAGATTCGTGGTGGTGTTCCGCCACTTCATACCCTCAATTGGATGTTCTTGTTTATGTTGTTTGATTTTCACAGAGAGAGGAATAGGCAGGAAAGGAGTAAACATTCTGGCTGTGTGTAACCTAAGAGAACATAGCATAGAACTCGACTACCCTCCATAATCAGGTGGAGGCGGTGAAAACGATGCCTTACCTCTTCTCGTTATTATTTATTTTTGAAGAGCACTTGCTCAACTTGTTTCCTATGCCCCTTCCTCAGCCTCACTCGCCTCTGACGCCTCTGCTGTTGAGTGGCGCCTGCTGCGCTACAGTCAGCTAAGAAATCGAGTGCATTGCCTCGCTGCGTTTTCTGCTGGTGATCGTTTTGCGGTGTTTCTTCCTTTGCCACCTTGATAAGCATTGCTCACATTTTGCATGGTGAGAAAGAAGAGAGCCCAAACTGAAAAGGATTCTCCTGGGTGTATTTGTAGGAAATGTGGGCACAGTCTTAACTTCACGTGTTCAATATGTAGCTTAAAAGCAATGACTAGTTCATTCCAGATATCGCAAACATGGGGGAGATGTTACCTACCAACAGCTGTGTCTCCTCTGATAGTTCTGTTTCCTTGATGGAAGGTGGGGGTGGGGGTGTCTCCCTGTCTCAGGAGACAGAGAAACACGTGGGTGATTCCCCAAGGAAAAGCTTTGTGGATCTTGAGGAGCCTCTAAGGCAGTGGTTCTCAACCTTCCTAATGCCGCGGCTCTTTAATACAGTTCCTGTGGGTCACGACCCATAGGTTGAGAACTGCTGCTCTAAGGGAGGACCAGGTGTCCTAAGCAACAGCTTTCTCTCTAGCAGTAAGTTAAGAAGGGTTTCAAAGGGCCTGGCAAAAAGTGAGTGCTCAATGTTTTAACCTAATTATTATCTAAATCAATAAAGTTATATTTCATCTCCGAAGTGGAACCCAACATCCTCCTGTATAGGAATCTCTAGAAAAATAATTTAGAGAAAAGCATGCTGAAAATCTCAGCCATAAAAAGGTAAATTGTCTAGTTTTTTTAAAAAAAGGTGAGAATGGACAGGAAGGGCCAAGAAGGTAGATGGTGGATAGAAAACCCGACAGTGTGATCTCAGCCTAGGAAAGCATAGGAACTGCCAGTTTCCTTCTCTAAAGTTTCAGGATGGTTGTTCACCTTTGGGTTTCATTAAAATGAACATTTAATTTCCTAGAACAGGTTCTTGGGATATGTTTACTTACTGACATAGCATGTCAGAGGGGTCCGTTCTGCTGAATCTGTCCAGTGGACAAGCAAAGGTGTTGGTCTGTTTTGCAGAACTTTGGCTCATCTCGCAGGGGCTGTGACTCAGAGCTTGCTGGCTTTTATGTCATTATCAACTATTGGGTCAGTTATAAACTTAGCCTTAAACCCATCCGCATACTGTCTCTTCTTCTTTTTCTTCTTCTTTTCTCTCTTTTTTTTTTTTTTTTTGTTTGTTTGAAGAGCCAAGGTCTCTTGCTGCTACCCAGGCAGGAGTGTGGTGGCCTGATCATAGCTCATTGTAGCCTCAAACTGCTGGGCTCAAGCCATCCTCCTGCCTCAGCCTCCTAAGTAGCTAGGACTATGGATTAATTTTTTTATAGCGACAAGGTCTTGCTATGTTGCTAGGGTTGGTCCAGAACTCCTGCAAGTGTTACATGATCCTCCTGCCTCAGCCTCCTAAGATGTTGGGATTACAAGCATGAGCCATCACACCTGGACATCTTCATCTTCTTTATCACTTTGGCTAGGAACTATAGGTGTCCTTATAGTTCAGCTTTCTTGCTTGCCAGCACTTTATAAGTTTTTAAAGTTATTTTCTGCCTATCCTCTCCCACAGCCCACATCAGACTCCAAGGTGAGGAACTGGTCACCAATGTGGGTTGTCCTCACTAGTGTTAACAATTCTTTCCACAGTGACAGCAGGGGAAGGGGTTTGTGATAGCCAAGGCTCTCTCATGTAGAAGAAAGGTACCTGGAATCGACTTGATCAAGTAAAATGTCCCTTGCCTTTAAGCAAGAACCAATTGCACTAGAAGCCTGAGCCGTCTACTCAACAGTGGCTGTGAGCAACCTGGTGGGGTGGCAGCGACTCTGTGCCATCCCTGGCGGGCCGGGCAGGTGGCAGCTGTTCCTTCGTCACAGGGGAGCTGGCAGCACCAGGGATGGCTGCATCAAGGCTTCCACCCTGTTGCAGCTGAGCTAATTATACCTTCCCCGTGAAGGGAGAAATCGGAACACTGCATTTGCATTGAAACCAGCCCGACATGGCGAGCCCAAAATTACTCTAGCATTTATGTTCTCTGAATTGTTTTAATTAGCAGTTCCGCAGTTACCAGTTTCTTATTTTGTTTTTTATTCCTTTCCTCCACTGGCAAAACCTGACATTTAAGAAACATCTGAACCAGATTTTTGTCACATTCTGCCTGTTGGAGACTTAAGATCTCAATCTACTTGGTCATTACTGTGCCACGGTGGATCCATTGAAATTTTTTTTAATGTGCACTTTGGAGTTTTCACTGTTGGATTCCAAAATGTGCTTCAAATGCATATGATTTGTTGGTGAGTAGAGAACCCCAAACATCTGCAATTCTAGGTCTCAAATCTTCTTGTCCCCTGGGATTTAGCTTTCTGTTGGAGTTGTAGGAAATCCTCTTCTTTAGTTCATCTTTTACTTGAGAAAAGCAGGAAGCAGAGTAGGCAAGTTGATTTACAGTATACATTTCAGGAAGCAAATGGATGTAACTTGGTTCAGCAAGGCCACAGGCAGAATCCTAAAGTGTTAAAATGATGTTAGCTCCAGATTCCAAGAAATCATCATTAGATGCTCACTGTTTTCACTGCTGGGAGAAAGAAAGATTCACTGAACTAAGCTGAGAGAGCAAGTAGCCAAATGAACCTACTTGAACTTCAGCACCTTTCGCCTCACCCTGCTCACCCTGGAGGAAAAACATTGATGAACTAGAAAACAAAGTCCTGAGCCACAGTAGAGAGGAGAAAGTTGAGACAAAGTCCTGAGCCACAGTAGAGAGGAGAAAGTTGAGATAATCGAAGAACTAGATAAGCAGGTACGAAATAATCAAGAGTTTACCATCACGCCCTGGTCTTTACAATGAATGGGTTAATTTTCAAAGAGTATTTTCACGTAATGTGAACATTTCTAGACAGGTAGATAGATAAACAGGTAGACTGGCTTGCTCCACAGATGTTTCTAGTGTCATGTGCCAATGCCATTTCCTCTACAAGGAGCAGCAAAAGAGGGAATTTCAGTGTCACCTCCTCCCTGACTTCCTCTGGGAAGAGTAATTGCTCAGTCCTTCATACAGATAGGGATCACAGGGTAGAGTACCTTGCATCAAGGAAACTGGCCCATCTTGATGTCTCTCTTACTGATATGAGAGCAGAGAGAGGGCAAGTCTTCTACAGCTTTGTAGCTTTGTGAACTGGTACAGTGCATGGCACATACTATTAATATACTGTCAGTAAATTAATGTTGAATAGGAGTCCTATCAGGAAAAGCCTTTTGGAGTGTGTCCTTTTAGCCCTGTAGGTGAATACAAAAGATGTTCAGAATTATATCTGGTCTAGCTCTGAGGTTAGAGGCACTGACTTCAGGTAGTAAA